GATTTTCCACATTCATTTTGTTTCTTTTTCAAGTCTTCTTCTCCATAGGTGTTCCTTTTAGGAACTAGAGCTGCCATCCACAGGGTTGTTCAGCCCATGTGTCCCCTTTGAGCCTACAGCTTGATGCACTCTTATCTCATGCCATATGAATCTATGGGTTCTACCACCTCTGCCTTCAGATATATTCTGAAGCACACCATCTTTCAAGAGTGTTCTCCAGCAAATGCCCTAGATCAAGCTCTTCTCTCCCAACTGAGCTATTGTGGTAGTGTCAAACACCATCTCTGAGTCCTTTTTAGCTCCTTGCTGTGGCCGCACAGCATGCATGATGCCTCCACTGAGATGTCAGTCATTTGATTTGTTCTCCACAAACTCTCCCATGGTTTTCACTCATGGACAAAGCCCTGTTGCTATAGTGATAGGATGAACCTGAATGGTCCCAAGCCTGGCCATCAGAGGAGATGAAATCACCAGCACCTGCTGACTCTTCCCTCTGTGAGAACTGTGTGCCCCCACCCACCTCTGGTGTTTGTCTAGTCTTTTCTTCCCCTAGGTCGCATGTCTTATTCATTTACCATAGCCACACTTACCTTCCACAGATGCCTTATAGGAGACAGAAACTTACTCTTTCTGGCTGTCATTCCTACCCCTCTTCACAAAATGCAGAGAAATTGTGAGTTGACATTTAAAAATACTTATTCCTATTTTCTTTACCTGCATAGCATCATGGGAGCAGAGATTTTTTTTTTCATTGTTCCCATGAATATGTCCAGCATCTGGGTCCCAGTTAGTTTTTATTGTCAGCTAGGCACAACCTTGTGTCACCAGGGAAGGGGGAACCTCAACTGAAAAAATTGCCTCCATCAGATTGGCTAATCTGTGAGAGCTTGTCTTGATTGCTGATTGATGTAGGAGGGCCCTAGGCATGTGCTGCAGAGATCACTCAAGGCCTATGGGCTATGAGGTACTCAGCAATTAGGATGTCTACACAAGATACGGCTTTTGAGTATGCTCAGTTTATTCACACAGACATTCCTTATAATAAATATCATATTAATATAAAAATCAAACAGGTGTCTCACCAAGTGGGGAACTTGGACAGGAAATGCTTCAGGGTTTCACTTGGGAATCTTTTCCAGTGAGAACCCTTCAGAAGCTTGAGGCTCAACCCACATCCCCTGTGAAGTCCTTGAGCTGTGGCAGGCTGGGAGAGTGGCGCTAATGGAAGGCCAGAAAGTCCTTAAGAGCACTGGGTAGCTGCTAGCACTGACATTCCTGCATCTGTGAGCAGAGCGACAGTAGACAGTGTTGAAAGTTCTGTGGCCAATGAAGCCAGGATCCAGCACAGTGTGTCCTCTCGCTGACAGGTGTCAACAGAAGCCAGAGAAGCTGCATTTCTGGAGCATGGCAGTGCGATCCAATCCTAGAGACTCTTCCCAGAGTTCCAATATTTGTATCATTTTGTTGGGTGGTACCTTTGCACTCTCTGAGCTCACAGCTTGGAGCTAGTTCACTAGCATATCAAAACCACTTTGGGGTGAGTTCATTGGCATATCAAGGCCTGCCTGGGGCTTGCTTTTTGAGGCTTATCAGAGCTGCCTGGTGGCAAGCTCTTATTTTACAGGCATCACATTATTCCAAGTCATGCAAAATGGTTTTCAAGTTACACAAAATGGTTTCACTTATGTTCCTACCATGTGGAGCCGAGCTGTAGAAGATCACCAGATTAATATGAGCCAGGGAGCAAGCCAGTAAGCCATGTTCCTCTGTAGTTTGTATTTCAGTTCTTTCTTGACTTCCTGCTATGTCTTTTCAAAGTCAAAAAATTTTACAATTATTCACCCATTTATTTAGCAAAACAATAGTTATTGAAACCTCATTATTAACAAGGACTTTTGAAGGAAAAAATAACAATGATTTTTTTAAAGGGTTATTTTCAGACTTAGGACAACTAGAAAGAAAAATCCAGGATGAAGTGTGTTAGTATGGGAAATATGTCCATGAGTGTGTCATGCGAGTCTAAGCAATGTATAAACAACAACAACAACAAAATGACTGTCATGAATATGTCATGGGCCAGGTGTGGTGGACCATATCTGTAATCCAGGGGAAGCAGAAAAAGAAAGATGGTGAGTGAGTTTAAGGCCATCCTGGGCTACATTGTGAGACTGTCTCCTAAGTGGAGAAGTTTGGATTGTGCCAAACTCTCTGAACTCTTACTCAAGTGAATAGCTTGACAGAGCTGCCCCGCAACTGTTTGTGTTGGTGTGTGTGATGATATCCACTGTGTCCCATGTAAGAGTCACATAGTGAACCAGAATCGACTGTAATCCAGCAAAGCACAGTTTCAATCGGCCAAAGTATTTAAATTACTCTAAGAATAGTGGTTTTGTATTAGGATAGAAATGATAAACTTTCCCTTTAGAGGAAGATGGACTTAAAAAGAGGACTAGAAAATAAAATAAGCATGAGGTTTTTGAATACATAACTACGTGTGTTCTTTTTCTTTAGATATCTTGTTAAGAAAGTCAGGCCATCTGTATTAATACAAAAGTTTAGCAGTCTCTAATCTCACTCCACTGTAAACTGAAGGCATGCATACATATACTTTTATGTATCATTTTAACTCCTGTTTATGTGCAATGCTCTGGAAAAGCATCCTGAGGATGTGCCACACACAAAGCGGGCTAGCCCTGGGGTCAATAAGTTTCCTCTCCTTTTTATCTCATCTCCTTTAAAACGATTCTTCTAAATTTGCAGAGCATTTCAGTGAGCAGCAACTACAGAAGAAAAATCTTTTATCTTTAGCCAAAATTCAGATTAAAGATTTAGGCCAGGTGGTGGTGGTGCACATCTTTAATCCCAGCACTTGGGAAGCAGAAGCAAGTGGATCTGTGTGAATTCAAGGCCAGCCTGGTCTACAAAGTGAGTTCCAGACAGCCAGAACTGTTAAACAGAGAAACCCTGTCTCAAAAAACAAACAACCCTCTCCCCCAACACACACACACACACACACACACACACACACACACACACACACACACACACACACACCAGTCCCTTTCTGTGACTTTTGGTTTTGTCATGTGACCCATTTAATTTAACCAAGGCCATCTATGTAACCATTAGGTTGGAAGTACCCCCTGGAACCTGGTGGAGTCACTGATGGGTACATGACTCAGGCAATGATTTCCTTCCATCCTCAAATTGGCAGTGGAATTATTTGAAGAACAGAGACTACCTTGTACCTTGGAGTCCCAGAGAGGGAGAAAATAGTGTGAGGTCTACAAGACCAGGTTTAAATCCTACTAGGGAGATATGCAGCACTAACCCAGTCACTCAACTCAGATCTGCTTTCCCATTTGCCATCCAGAGAGTAACAACATTAATCTTTGCAACAGTCCCAATCCTAAAGGAACCATGCTCATTGTGCACAAGTACACAGCCCCTCTTTGTGTCCTTATGTTCCCTTTACTCTTGGCTCATGCCCAGCCTATAAATATGGTGTATAGTTCCTTCTGCCTCACTGTCCTGAGTATCTTACCAAATGCCACTTCGGTGTGGGACATTTAGCGTCCTCTGAAGGTCAGTCCGAGAAACAGACCTTTAAAGCCTGCTGTGGATTTCCCGTCAGGACCGTCAGGACCGTCAGGAACACTGCTTGTGCCTTTACAAGATGTTCCTTTTTATGGGACTTCAGGAGAGTTTGGTGTCTGCTCTGAGTGCCAAGCAGAGTGGCGCTTCTGAGCATTGGGTTTATTTTAAGCTTATGGCCAGTAAATTATGTAACTGACCGAGTTTCCCTTTTTTGAGTTGCCTGCTAGAAAGCTTATGGCCAGATTCATGGCTCATCTGGAGGAAGTGAATTTGGTCATCACAGGGTGTGTTTCAGTCTTTATTTCTGCCTTCAACACCCACCCCACCGCCATCTTTGTTGTTGTTTATTGTACCTTTTATATAATTTAAACATTATTTTAAAATGTATTCATTAGAGCTTAGTTCACTGTAGGGGGCTTGGCTAGCATGTCTAAGGCCCTAAACCCAACCTGTAGTACTACCAAAAGCAAATTATTATTCTTTCAAATTTCCTTAAATTATTTCTCAAGTTTGTTGAGAGGAAGGAAGAGAGTTGGAGAGGGAGGGAGAGATATGGATTGTATCAATTTCACTTGTTAATAACTCCTATAGTTAAGAGATGTCTTAATTTTCATAAGAAGGTACTAGTTGGGTCTACATCGTAAGTTCCAGGCCAGCCATGACTGCATAGTGAGACCCTATCTCAAGGGGAGGATAGTAGTGATACAGAATAAATTTTTCAATGGGTAAAATTTTAGACTTTGCAAGAAAGGGAAAGAGAAGTTTGGAGAGTGAATGATTATAGACTGTGAGCACTGTTTGGAAATTACTAGAAGGGAAGCCATTTAAAGGCAGGATGGTTGTGTTGACCCTGGGGAGAGTGGCTGCTGGTTGATTAGACTGTTAACTGGCCATTAGGTACTCCTCTAGGCTTGGCTTGTGAAACGACTTTTTGCCTGGTACAGAAAAAGATGGTGAAAACATTGGCAATTTTGAAACCCTTACAATGCCTGTCCTTGGACAAGTAACTCACCGTCTTTGGTGTGACGGTGAACCTTGACTGTGGACTTGACTGGACTGAGAAAACCTTGAAGCTTAGTAAGGTTCCTTTGGGTATGTCTGTAACATTTCCAGGGAGAACTACTAAGGAGGGAAGGCCTGTTTTAAATGTGGGAGGCCCTATCCCATGCATCTGGATAGGATAGAAGCTGAGAAAGGAGGAAGCCAAGCAAGGACCAATCTCCCCGGCCCCATCTCCCCTTTCCTCTTCCCTCTCCACCCCCCACCCACTCCTCCTCTTTTCTTCCCTCCTGCCATGATGTGAGCTACCCTGGCTTGGTACTTTTTTTTTTTTTTTTTTTTTTTTCGAGACAGGTCAAGACAGGGTTTCTCTGTGTAGCTTTTGTGTTTTTGCTGTGATGGATCAAAACCTCTGAAACTGTAAGTCCAAGTAAATCATTATTTCCTTTAAGTTGTTTTACTCAGTTATTGGTCACAGTGACAAAAAGTGTGACTAAGTTTCTTCATTTATAAACTGGAAATAAATCAGAACTTACATTATAGGAATTGCTTAATCATCGTGTGTGTGTGTGTGTGTGTGTGTGTGTGTGTGTGTGTGTGTGTGTGTGTGTGTGTGAAGTTTCTAGTCTACTCTATGGACTAGAGCCCAGTAGGAATTGGTGCATGTTAGTTAGCCTTTACTCTTCTTTCTGTCTTCTACTTGAGCAAAGGATTTCTAAAAGGGCTAAACTGGAATTTACAATCTTTCTGCCCCCTCTTCCACAATGTTTCCCCAAGACTTAGGTGTGGGAGTCCAATTACAGATGTATTCATTAGGACTGGGCTCCGGGTTTTGGTAGGTTGTGGTTTCCTGGAATGGTCTCCATCTGTTGCAAAGAGAAGCTTTCTTATTGATGGGTGAGGACTCCACTTACCTGTGGATGGAAGGACAAATAGTTGGAGTGTAGTTAGGAATCATGCTGGCGTGGTGAAGTGGTTGTGGTTGTAGGTTCTTCTCTGAGATCCATTACTTCACTAGCCCTGGGTAGTTGGCTGCTTCAAGTACCAGGAATGATTTTCCTCTTGTTGAGTGGGCCATAAGTCAAGTTAGAGAACAGTTTGTTACCACTAAGGTATGCATGCCATGCCCATACCCTTAGGGTTATAGTGCCGGGCTGGTCATGTTGTGGTTCATAGGCATCAAAGCTGTGCAAGATGGTAAGTGCCAGAGAATTAGGTGATTTCCTGTGAGCTCGTGTCTCCTAGTAATGTCAGAAGCTATACCCATAAAGTCTCACCAACCTGACTGCCTGAACATGAGCTGAACAAGGACAACAATAGGCATATAAAGTATAGTGGGAAAACTCACAAGGCCTCAACCCCACATAAAGAACTACAAACAACTAAGGACTGTTGAGAGCGGGAGGTAGTCTTATCCAGGGAAGAGCACACTGGCTAGTTTTATGTCAGCTTGACACAAGCTAGGGTCACTGGAGAGAAAAGATCCTCCATTGAGAAAATCCCTCTACAGGGCATTTTCTTAATTAGTGATTGATGTGGGAGGGCCCAGCCTATTGTGGGTGGGGCCACTCCTGGGTAGGTGGTTCTGTGAGAAAGCAGGTTGAGAAAGTCATAGGGAGCAAGTGCACTACTCCATAGCTTCCATGTCAGCTCCTGCGTACAGGTTCCTGCCCTATTTGGGTTCCTGTCCTGAATTCCTTTGATGATGAACAATGATGTGGAAGCATAAGCCAAATAAAGCCTTTCCTTCCCAAGTTGCTTTTGGTCATGGTGTTTTATCTCAGCAATAATAACCCTAACTTGGACATATACCAAATCAGACATATACCAAGACCAAATGACCATCCTTGCAAATATACATAGAAGTAACATTATACAGACAGTAGATTGTGTTTATGTTTTTAGGTATGTATGCATATGTGCATGTACCAACAATTAATGAAAAGAGAGGCCATGAATTTCAAAGAGAGCAAGGAAAGCTGTGAGGGTAGATTTGATTGGAGGAAAAGGAAAGGGGAAATGGTGTAATAATATTATAATCTCAAAAAATAAAATGAGTAAATGAAGTGGCAAATGGTTAATTTTGTAAATGTATCATGGTGGAGTTAGTGGTAGGACAATTGTGGCCAAGAACCTTTGTGACAAGGATTCTAATAAAAATATATTCTCTCTCTCTCTCTCTCTCTCTCTCTCTCTCTCTCTCTCTCTCTCTCTCTCTCTCTCTGTGTGTGTGTGTGTGTGTGAGAGAGAGAGAGA